TAATGATTGATTCTGGTTTGGGATTAAGATTTTCAATAACAGCATGAAGTGATGAGGCCGTAAACCATGAATCTTGGCAGGTATCTGCAGACCAATGATCATAGGCTTGTACTTGAAGGACTGAAGAGCTATTTTGTTTCCTGTATACCATAACTATATGTAATAACCATCCCTTTTTTCCAAACTAATCATTTTTTGTTTCTCAGGCTGTTTTTGGTAATATTTTCATTTTATAATCTACTAAAATTAAAGCAGTTTTTTTGTCTAATTCTAATAGGTTTGCATTGAACTGTGCGTTTAAATAGACTTTTTTTGTTTGGTGCACAAGGTAATAAAGCAAATAATTTTTTAAGTCTTCAAGTTCTTCATAATTTGTTAAATTTACATAACTTCAAATATTTTCAAATAAACTAAATAATTCTTGACATTTATTACAAGTTTGATTATGATTTTCGTTACAATTCCCAAATGCATAAAGTAAGCAGTGATTGATATATGGATTATGAAAAGTCATACCACTTTTTGTAACGTGAAAATGATTTTCATAATCACGTTTTAAAAATCATTTCAAATTATCTACTGTTATTAGTAATTGTTTCTATGAATTATCAAAATTTTATTAGTGTTGTATTTCATTTGATTAAAAGATAAGTTGATAGTATTTCATTTTTAAATATTTCATACTTGTATAAGAGACTGATTTACATGTTTTTCTATATATTTAGAAAGATCAGAAAATATTTCGTATCCATATTTTTGACAAGTTTGATATAAACCCTCTGAGATCTTCATGATAAATATATTTTTTTTCCTGTAATCAAGTAAAAAAACTGGTTCATTGCATCCCATCAAAATATTGTTCATGGTATTTTTTCCACAATATTTCTTTGGTATGCTTGAGATAATGAACTGGCTCATTAGTTACTAGATCAGTTTTATAGGAACTCATAACAACATGTGCTTTATCTAATAAAAAAGCTTGTAGTTGTTGTTGTATTTCTTCAGAAAAATTTTCATACGTTATAATAGGTTTTTTAAATGCCTTTCCACCAACTTTATATAAATTTGCATGCTTACGAGCATAACGAATTGCATTATTAGACACCTGTAATATGTAACACAACTTTAATAAATAATTTTTCATCATAAATTAAATATTGGTACAAGTAAATTTGAATTTATAAAATTTATTTAAATAAATGGTAAATACATAAAAAATTTATTTTGTATAAAAATATTACAATTATCTAAATTATTATGCTATTGATTAAATAAAACTATTAAAAACGCTAATATTTTTTACTCACTTCTAGATTCTTTTTGATTTCATCATAAGTAAAACTTCCTCCTATTATTGATAAAATTCGTGTTTGTCCTTCCAAACCACATTTATTCACATCTAAATATTCTCAAAATGAATTTCAAAATATCTTGGTATCATTTTTCAAATAAAAGGTATTGGAATTAAAAATCTTTGTCTATATAATATCTCTAAATTAGTTTTATCGATTTCAGGAGTAAGTGATCTTGACCAAAATTCTACTTATTAAAAATTACAATTATAAGTAATAAATTTTCTAAAATTTTTTTTATAACAATATTATTTACCTGAGATTGATCTTTTTCGAAAGGTGTAATTTTTTCACATCCAACATTCCGTAGCATAGCTTTTCAAGCTCTAAATTCACACGCATTAATTTCATGATTAGATGAATACAGTTTTTTCAATTGGGTTTTCAATTCAATTATTGTTGATAATCCAATAAGCCATTGGTTAAAAAATTCTTGCCAGTTATACACGTTGAAATCCTGCGTTTAAGATGATATGCGAAAATTGATTCCATCAAATTAACATCATTCCAATTATTCAATGTACAACTGAGTATATGTAAAATTTGAATAAAATGTTGTGTTTGAGGTTCCTCTAAACCAAAAAGAAGCTTACCATTATATTGTTGTAATATGCCAACTTTTTTTCACAAAGATTCAGGATCGCAATCAGTAAAAGAACATAGTTTTATATTTTCTCCTGTATAAATTATAAGAGTACATTCATCTTCTTCAAATTCTTGAACAAAAACACACCTTTACTTTCTAAATGTATATATGAAAGTTGCCTTGTAACCAATACCAGCTAAATTCCATTCAGATTTGTTAGATTTTCCTACACTCATAATTCAAATTCGTAATTTGTCTAGAGAAAAGAAATATGGTCGAAATTGCAAGTCTTGAAGCAGTATATTAGAAATAGTAGGTGTGTCAAAGCCCATTATTGCTGGTCCTGAAAATTTTGTTTCTGTTTCAAAAATTCTTTTATATACACTACAAATTGCAACAGTAAGTGTTTGAC